CACTTCAAGTTCTGTAAAGAAACTCTAGAATGCTCCTGATTTTGGATTGCATTAATTACATCCAAGTCTGGTATGTTTCTGTTACATTCTGCAGATAATTCAGTAATTTATATGTAAATATCAATAAAGAATTTCAATGGAAAATTTAGTGGACTTTATTCTGTTCTGTCATAAAGTTACTTTCTATCTCTGACTAAATGGGAATGAGAGATGTGAGTGCTAAAAATATTTCTTTCTACATTTCCAGTATTTTAACAGTAGCATGTTAATGTTGATATTTACAAGAAAAAAAAAATTCCCTGAATATCTGCTTTTATACCTTGGTACAACCTATTAGGCTTTGACTCGGTCTACAATAGGCTTTCTAAGAGGTGCCTCAGCCTTTGTCACTAGAGAGTAGAAGGTGGACTTGGTGATTAACCTTTCTCCACCCCATCTGAGGGAGGATGATTCTCTTTCCTCTCATTGTAATAGTTTTCTTGGGTACTGTTCATTAGTTATGACCAAAGAATGATGTTAACATGGCATATAGTTGTATTGCTACAGGATGGCTCTGCATGCAAATTCTAATTCAATGATAACAGCCTGAAGTTGTCTGTATGTGATGTTACTGCAATTGTCTGCTATTTTCCTCTTTATTTTACTCATTCCTTTTCTTAGAGAAACTAAATATCTTCCTGTGACTCCTTGCTAACAAACCTCATGGACAGCAGGTTCCATGTACCTATCCACATACACAGTAGGTTATTAACTCTCACTAAGGGAGAAAAGGGATGCTTACCATAGTTTAGTCTAGGCAGATAATAAGAAAATCTGCAGGAATCTGTTACCGTGAGAAGATACAATAAAAAAGTTTTGATCCTGTATTAACCTTTGTGATTGCATTTATGCCTGCTTTCTAAGTGGTTCCTAGTCTTAGTGAACTGGTTTGAACTTTTGTACTAGTTCACTGACCAAAGGCATAGTATCAGAAATAATTTAGAATAGAAGTATGGCACACCAAAACTTAAAGCCACAGAAGTTTAGAATAAATAGCTTTCCCAGGGCTCAACATTTTTGATAGCAGCAGTATGCATGGATTTATACAGGTAGAATATGAATAAGTGGTTTCCATATTATTTTATATTTTAAAGAAATTAAATTCTATGAAGTAGTATATAGTTAAAAATTCTGATACTGTAATGTCCTTAACAATTTGGTAACTAATTTTAGTATAACTTTGAAAATAAAGTTATTATATCATGTATCTTTTCTCTGAGCTTTAGTATTTACTGGTTAATATGAAGTTATGAGGTTGGAAACGCAAACCAAAGGGAAAGGAGAGAAAATAAGATTGCATTATGCACAAATTATAGAAATTAAGAAATTTTGTACAGAGTGCAAATGTCCTTGATGAAACAGGAGTATTTATGTCCTTATTATTAAGAACGTGGTCAGAGAGGGAAGGTTAGATTTTTCTTGTGGTGGCATGGTGTGCTAGTTTAAAAACCCAGGGGGGGAATTACCCCCCCTTAATCTGCCCCCTTTCAATAGTAGAGGAAAAAAATACTGAGAGATTATAAATTGGAGTCACAATACTGAAGAAATCATAATAAACACAACAATAATAATAAAGGATTGTACAAAAGAGAGAATGGTTTACCTACAGAAAAGGTATTCACCACCAAACAAACAAAAACAGACAAACAAAAATCCTTCAAAAGGAGAGCACCCAGCATGGGGGTTTTTCCATACAAAGGCAATATGGTGCCTGGCCTCTCAACCACGCTGAACATGTGGCTCCCTATGGAGTACTTGGCAAGCTCGTTAGTCCAAACATGGACTTATGCTGCTGAAAATACTAGCTCTGGCAGTCACAGTGGTGGCCCCGGTTCAGGGGGCTCCCTCCCCTCCATGGCAGTGGTTGTCCTGGTAGTGGTCCTGGTGGGTGCCGCAGCTTGCAGTAATGCTTCAGTGGCTGCAGTGGTAGCCGAAGTAGTAGCATTAGCAGCAGCAGTATCAGCAGTTGCATCTTGCCGTGGCTTTGTCAGCAGTTACTGCGTTTCACGGTTTCAACAACAGTTGCCACTTGCTGGCTGGGCTCCTCTGCGGCTGTGGTTCCAGTGGAAAGTAGGAGGGAGGAACGGCAAGTGGCAGAGGCACTGAATCTGCTGGATTTCATGGGGAATTATCCCTCCACTGAGTCTGGCAAACCAAAATGGCAAACTTTGGGGTTCTGGCACTCAGTTTTACCTGCTGAAAACCACACCCCCGCTGTGAAGTGGATGATGTGGAATAAACAGTGTTAAAACTCCGCCTCTTATCTGTGTACCCAGGACACAGGGTAAAGAGACTTTGTGAAAACTGGTGTGGAACACATTAGAAATAAAGGAGATGATAAAAATTTGACAAACTTTAGAAAGTAAAAGAAAGATTTGGTGGTGGGGTTTTTTTACACAGAATTAAATAATGTTATTTATTTAACACATTTATTTCCATTTCAGTAAACCTGAGATTGTATTTCACAAAACCACAAGATGACTGATGTTGAAAGGTACTTCTTGGGATTATTTAGTCAAAAACCCCTGCTCAGAGTCAGCTAAAGCATGTTACCCCAAACATGTCCAACCAGATTTTGAATATCAGCCAGGGTGGAGACTCCACAATTTCTATAAATATAATACATAAATATAATAATAAACTATTTGGGTTTCAGAGGAAGTTATCTGTGAAGATAGGATTTGAAAGAATGTGAAATTATTATAGAGTAAATATATGAGGACTAAAAAGGAGATGTAAGAGAATAAAATAACTTTGGAGTAAGAAAAAGTCTTTCTGAATTACAGAAAAATATCTTAGGAAAAAAAACAGTTTAGAAAGGCAGCAAATTACAGTCCCAATTTACAATGATAAAAAGTCAGAGTTATATAATTGATAATATGTAAGTGTCAGTGGGTTAGAGGTAGGCAAGTACAAGGAACATAAGGCCCAAAAATTCATTGGGCGCTGTTAGGTCACCAAAATATGATACTGAATTTTTTTTAAATATAGTCACACCTCTCTTCTTTTTAGATTATACCTGCACAGTAGATTTGTCACTACTTATCCTGTAAATGCAGAAAGAAATTCTTAGTTGAATGAACAGGGTGTGATTTTGTGCAAATTTTTTCTTCTCTCAACCAGGAAACCTCCTAAACTGAACTCAAAATTGAGAGGAATTTTAAGATACTTCTTGGACATTTGGGATTCCAAGTGTGTAAAAAAAAATTAATAAAAATAAATTTCAATAGACAGACATCAGCAACCCTGAGAAGCAATGCAACAATATGATGGGATAGATGTAATGACTTCATTGCACTTCAAATAATACCATTACTGCCTTTGGTTTAATTGGTCAATGATAGGGAAGAGAAGCTGTGATGTGATGATAGCATGGTTGAAACACAGCTCCAAATAATAAAATTTAGAGTATCATAGGATCATCGAATATGCTGAATTCATCACTTTTAAATATAACTGTCAATAAATGAATTAGCAGTGAGCTGAATAGCCCTCCAGACCTTTCTAACTGTATTGACCAGGCATCCACTGATTACACTGTCAGTTTAGAATGTTGAGGTTTTTACTCCATATATGTTCTGTGCTGTAGTGAGTTGACCTTGGCCACATACCAGATACCCACTAAAGCCACTTTCTTACTCTCCCCTCTGCAACTGGACAGAGGATACAGAAAAAAAACAGCTAAGAATTCATGAGTAGAGATAAGAGCTGGGAGAGGTCAGTGACTGATTGCCAAGGGCAAAACAAGACTCAAAGTGGGGATAGCACTTATATTTATTACTAACAGGATAAGAGCCAGAGAGTGAGAAATAAAACAATCTTAAAAACACCTTCCCCTACCCCTCCTTCCATGTTTTTCCTCCTCCCCCTGCAATGGTACAGGGGGACAGGGAATGGGGATTGCGGTCAGTTGTTGTTTCTGCTGTTGCTCAGAGAGGAGTCCTTCCCCTGATCCCGTGGAGTCCCTCTCATTGGAGACAGTCCTTCATGGACCTCTCCAGAGTGAGTCCGTCTCTTAGGCAGTAGTTCTTCCCAAACTGCTGTCCCATGGGTCACTCCTCCGTGGAGTGCAGTCCTTCAGGAATGAGTAGTACTGACCTGGGTCCCCCACAGGGGCCAGAAGTCCTGCCCAGGAAAAAGCTGCTCCAGTGTGGGCTTCCCTCTCCACAGGCCGCAGGTCTCTGGCAGGACTCCCCTCTGTCCTGAGCCTCCCACGATGTCACAACTTCTTTCATGCATCCACCTGCTCCAGCATGGGCTCCTCCATGGACTGTGTGTGGGTCTCTGCACCCCGATGGTCCTCCATGGACTGCAGGGGGACAGCCTGATTTACCATGGTCTTCACCACAGGCCTCAGGGGCCACAGCTCCGGTGCCTGGAGCACCTCCTGCCCCTCCTTCTGCACTGACCTTGGTGTCTACATTGTTATTCCCATTTTCTCACTCCACTGGAATTCCTGTCTGGAATTTCTTCTGCGCAAAAATCTTCTGGTCTTAAATATGTTGTCACAGAGGCATTACTATTACTTCTAATTGGGTCGGCCTTGGACAGCGGCAGGAAGCCCATCCTGGAGCCGGCTGGCATTGGTTCCACGGGACAGAGCAAGTTTCTAGCAGCTTCTAACAGAAGCCACCTCTGTAGCCCCCCTGCTACCAAAACCCAGCCACAGAAACATGCTACATGTGCTCACAAACACAATAAAGAAAATGCGTATCAGCTGAGATCAGGAGTTAAATGGTCAGTGGAAGAATGGCTGAAAGAGCTTCAAAACCACTGTGGTGTCATAACAGCTGGATTGTACAGTTAAAAAAAAAAAAAAAAGGAAATTTTGCAGGTCTTTCTTGTGAGATCAACCATTTGCTTAATTCCCTTTTACCAAGAGTTGTTTTGTTTGTTTTGTTTGAAGAAGTATTTTTTTCTTACTTCTGACAGATGCATGAATAGAGTCTGCAGATACAGCTCTGCCTTCAGCAGTTCAACACTTTTTCAAGCCATCCAGCATCAGGCTGATGTGAACTGACAGTGCTTACACCCAGGTGTCATTGTCTAACATGCCTTTTGACAAAAAAAATATAACTTGACACATCTTATTTTTCTGTTTCATCTCTCCATGCAGTGTTCCTTTTCTTAACGGTAAATATTAAAGTAATATTTTTTTAGTATGTGAAAGAATTCATGTTCATGAAGTCCTCCTGTGTGCTTGTAAATCCTCATAGTTTCTACATATTGATCTCCTTAGATACTTTACATTCCTTCTATAACTTTCTCAATGAGGCTATTTACTATACTATAGCTTTGAAAAATTATGGGATTTTTTTTTTTGTCTAATATAACTCCAAGATGATGAAATTAAGGGTTCAGGAACATGGGACATTTCTGAAATAGCTGATTACCTGATAATTTCTGGCAAACTCAGAATTTATTATATGACTAAAAAATTGCAGATATTTTCACTGTCAATACATAAAGAAGAAGCCTACCAAAATTTTATTTCAAATAAGAGACAGAAATTATATGTAAGGCTTGAATAGTTCAGAAGTATGTCTTCCTTTGATGCTTAATTTCAAATTTACCAATTCTATCTATATGTGTTGTATCAATTGTTGATCAACAGTAACAAGCACTAGGTAAGACAACCCCAATATTATTCAAAGTAACTAATTCTGCTGCTTCTGGTGAACAAATTAGGAAGCTACAAAATGACAAAAGAAGTATTTTTGTATAGTGGCAATGGTATGCACAACAGTAAAATGCAATAGTTGTGTACAAAGCAGAAGAGAAAGAAACAGTTTAATAGAGGAATTGTTCACTGGCATGAATTTAATGTTTGGGTGACCAGTCCCAAAATCTGTGCTCTCTCTATTTAATACATTGCATAAAATTATCCTGAAGAATATCCTAACCTAAAGAAAAAAAATAAAAATAAAAAGTGTTTCATACTGGTATAAAAACAGTAATGAAATCTACAAACAACAGTTGAACATATGGAGATGATGTCCAGCCAGCAAGGGAGGCATGAGGCAGTACTGACATAAAAATACTACAAAGTAATCCTGTTAAAGCCTAAGGTCCTTTTATTCTCTGACCAGGCAAAGCATAATAAAAAGAGCAACATACCCTATGTGCACTTCAGACGTTAAAGGAAAAAGGGATACAGGTTGTGGTGAGTCAGTGAAGAAGAGCAGAAATGGACTGCATTCATGCAGTTGATGGCTTGATGATAATGTGACAAGAACCAGTGGAGAGGTAGAAAGACCTAAAATGTCAGTGACAATAACTGTGCAAAGCTGATTTTCCTAAATATTACATGACATGTTAACAGCGACATAACCAAATGTAGCAGACAAGTGCACACTATCAGAGACCATCAGAGACCTAATAGTTGAGACAATTATAGAATGGTTTTTCAGTGACGCACACTTTGGTCACACCAAATGTAGCCAAAGCAGAGATCTGTGACATCTAGAACCAGAGCTGTCAGTGATAACCATATGACATTAATTCCATGTTGCTGTGTACTCACCGCTACTTTACAATAAAAATGATAAAAATTTTAAATACGAAGTACTATGTGTGCAGTGATGACAGGATGGCAATAGGTCAAGATGCATAAAATAACAATAAATTCTAATTAAATATAAGGAAATACAAATTACCATGAAGATCAACAAAGACTGAAACAAGTTACCCAGGGAGGTTGTTTTATGTCTGTCCTTGGAAGTAATCACAGAATCACAGAATATGCCAAGTTGTAAGGGGCCCACAAAGATCATCAAGTCCAACTCCTGACTCTACGCAAGACCATCCCCAAGAGGCACAACATGCGCCCGAGACTATTGTCCAAGGGTTTCTTGAATTCTGTCAGGATTGATGCTGTGACCACTTCCCCCGGGATCTTTTTTCAGCACCCAACCACCCTCTGGGTGAAGAACTGTTTTCTAATATCCAGACTAAACCTGTCCTGACACAACTTCAGGCCATTCCCTTGGGTCCTGTCACTGGCCACCACAGAAAAGAGATCAGTGCCTGCCCCTCCTCTTTCCCTCACGAGGAAGTTGTAAGCTGCATTGAAGTCCCCCCTCAGTCTCCTCTTCTCCAGGCTGACTAGACCAAGTGACCTCAGCCACTCCTCATACGGCTTCCTCTCAAGGTCCTTTACCATCTTCATTGCCCTCCTTTGGCCACTTCCTTTCCATGGCCCTCCTTTCCAGTATCTCATTCCCCAGTCTGTACATACACCCAGGGTTGCCCCATCACTGATGCAGAATCCAACACTTTCCCTTGTTGAACTTCATATGGTTGGTAATTGCCTAGTCCTCTAACTTGTTGAGGTACCTCTACAGGGCCTCCCTGCCACTGAGGGAGTTGACAACCCCTCCCAGTTTTGTGTCACCTGAAAACTTGTTTAGTATCCCCTCCAGTCCTGTATCCAAGTAATTTATGTAGGTGTTGAAGAGCACAGGGCACAAGATGGAGCCCTGTGGAACCCCACTAGTGACAGGTCAGCAGGCTGATGTGACTCCATTCACTTTTACCTTTTTGATTCTCTCCCGCATTCCCCTGAGAAGGAGGTAGTTAGTGCCTGTGCGGGGCTTAGTTGCCAAATGGGGTTAAACACCACCACCAGTGCATCTCGAATGCTATAGGGTATCTGAAAAATCCATATGAAGCTAGAAATTATGCTCAGGACCTATGGAAGACCATATGGAGGAGTAATAGAGAAAATGTAGCGTATCCTACACAGACATTGAAGACTTAATTTTATGCAGGTGTGTTGAGTCTGGCTGAGATCAAGTTCATTTCCCCATGGCAGCCCTCAGTGCTGTGCTTTGCACTGGTAGTTAGAAAGTACAAACTAGTGTTTTAGCTACTACTGAGCAGCGCTGGCACAGCACCAGCATTGTCTCTCAACCATCCTCCCCAGTCAAGGACAACACCCTGGGAAGGGACGCAACCAGGACAGCTGATCCAAACTAGCCAAAGGGTAATTCCATATCATATGGCATCAGCTCAGATATAAAAGCTAAGGGAAGGAGAAGGAAGGGGTGTATTCATTATTTACAACGTATACTTTCTTAGCAACCATTACGTGTGCTGAAGCCCTGTTTCCCAGAAAGTGTTATTTTCCTCTTCACTTGTGCATGCGCAAATTTTCACTTCTGCTTTAGTAAACTACTTTATCTCAACCTATGAGTAATTTTCCGTCTTATTCTCTCTCCTCTATTTGGCTGGGAAGAGAAGCGATAGAGCAGCTTGGTGGGCACCTGGTGTCCAGATAAGGTCAATGAACTATATATCAGGTTTATTAAATCCTAACTGTATAGCCTTTGTTTCATGGTGAAAATGTAGCCTGGGCTTTGATTCAGTCTCATAGTTGTTTCAGATACTCTATGGCATTTCAAATAACCCTAGAAGAGGAAGGGGTTAGGCGTAAATGAATTGAGCCATTAGGGACTGGCCTTTGACTTCTTTTAGAGAATAGATATAATAAAGCTAATTTTGGCTACTAAAATCCCAATTCTAAAGCCTCTATTTCAGCTTGGAGCTACACTTTCTATCATATAAACTAATCATAGTAAGATTTATGCTTGCTGTACACATTCCACTCCAACCAAAGCAATATATGTTTTATGTCTCTAACTTCTAGCTATTCACATTAATATCAATATTGATATCAAATATTTATTTTAGGGATAATAGAAATTACTACTGTGAAATAATGCCTTAAAACAATGCCAAAAAATAAATAAATGAAAATAAAAACATAGCTCTTGTAAAATATTTGTTAAATTATAGGAAACAATTTTGGAATACAATTTTTTTTTAAAAAAAAGTGTCCTTTTGTAAGTCTGATTTGAGATACATATTTTACTTTTCATGTTCAAAGATTATTGTCAGTCATCTTGCACAATTTTTAAAACAATCTGATTTCCAGCTCACAGATTTTACATCACAGATACATTTCTTTACACTGTAACCAGGTCAATACCAAAAATGTGATATGTTTTTGGGGCAGAATGAAGCAAACTGTGAAGAGGGCTCTCACAACGACAAGGGAAAAGATGTGGGGCTTAACTGTAAGTATGAAGTATCTTTTTATTTTATCAGTTTTATTTTCTAAATTCATGTCTGTGGACCAAGAACCTAGGTATAGTAGAGAGGGATGTAGATGTTATGACTTTAAAAAAGCCCACTGTTTTCTGCATTTTAGCTGTAGAGGCATAGTTGTCTAGTTTTGATGTGTTCTAATGTATTTCGAATACACACTAACCTGGGGGATGTAAAAATATAACTGGTATACCGAGTGCATTAAGAGAATCTGCCCAAATTAGGCATATGTGCATTGTGAGTTACATCATTGACTGCATCTTCGATATCAAAAACATCCCATGAGATTTGTTTAAACAGTAATCTTTGAAAAGTGTTTATAAAGATACTTCACAGAAGCTTTTGCACATAGGTGTGGATTTTAATATTATAAACTACTTCACATAAAAAAGTAATTAGATAATTTGTTCTATGTTCCCAAAATACTCCCAGTCACAGAGATACTGTTTTGTTTAAACAGTTAGGTAAAACCACATCTCAATTTTAGATTAAATGTTGACCTTCTAAACTGCTAATGAACCTCCTTTAGTCTGCAGTATCTGCATCATCTACCCTTGAATTCAATTCTTAAAATTTATACGATGCATACTTTTGGAGAACGTTAATATTTTGGGTAAGCCTGTGTTTTTGAGTGGAATGATAGTAAAGCATAGAGATCTCAGCAGTGGTGGTTTCAGATAAGATATCAAAATTGTCACTCAAGAAGTGTAACTCATCTGGTCTATGTTCGTCTGTGAGAACTGATATGCACACAGTAACCCCAGGCACCAGGTACAGTAACCCCAGGTGGTTAAGGTTTAAAGGAAAGGTTTATTTTTGAAGTCAGAGACCCTAATACACTGCAATACATCACTGAATGATCATGCAGCAGGT